TTCTGCACTGGACTGGCTTTTTCTGAGTCATGCAGGTTCCACAGACTTGCAAACCATTTCTGTTAAAGAAGGGGGGTTGTGCACATTCACATATGTTTTAATGTTCACTCATGCTAATGTGCACCTGCACCAGTGGAACAGCATTCTCATACTTCCCTAAAAAGGATTCCCTTTTGACAGTGAGCAGAGAATGGAATGCAAGATGCCTGACAATCGGCAAAACACAGATGGAATGGATTTAACCAAATCTCTACATCTCTAATTATGACATCACAATGCATGTGGGGAGGAGAAGAGATTTACAAAGTCCCTACACAAATAATAGTTAAGACCAGAATGTCACCATGTGAGCTGTTGGATTCAGTGTCAGACCAGGGCTGATGTAGCTACAGTTGGCCTGTCTGTGTGGGAACATGCCCCCAATTCCAGCTGGAAAAATACATAGAGCTGCCAGGTTCTCCGTCCTTATCTGCGCTGCTGCTCACTATGTTGATTCCCCCTGCAAGGACATGAAGCATGAGATTCCTTGCCCTCTTAATGAGTACCAGGTAATGGCCGCTGCCTGGTTGATAGTTGCCAGTGGCAAAGCCTTCAGGATCCATGAACAAGTTTCTCTCTACTTTTCCAGAGATAATTCCATAAAAATACCTGTAAATCATCACCTTTCTACCTCCTGATTGCTTAATGCCCTCATCCACTGATTGCTCTGGTTTGTAGATAGTAAGGATCCATGACATCCAGCCCAGAAAATCTTATGGAGTTCTTTGAGGGTGTCGGGATGTAAGGTAGATCCTTCTGTTAGAAAAGGTTAAAAGGGAGCTCTGGGTTTTGTTTTGTTTTTTTATAAATCACCTCCCTGGGGATGGAGCAGGTACAGACTGGGTGTGTGCTGCCCTAGGGAAGGTACTGGCAGGATCTTTCCTTCCTGTGTGTGATTTCTAATTTGCATGGCGAAAGTCCCAATTGTAGACACATGGCCACGAGGGGCTGAACTGACTGTTCCACCTTGATTGCAATCAGCATTCATATACTTCCACAGGCAACTCTCTCTAACCAGCACCACCTGTACTTGCATCCAAACATCCTACAAAAAAACAACTTCACACAAACAAGTCTGTTCCATCTCCTGACTCAAGCCCAGTTTCGTCCTGCTTTACCAGATACACCCTACCTGGAACTCTCTTCAGCTCAGAGAGCCATCTTGTGGCTGATTCACATGAAACATGCAAAGATAATCGTTGCATGTATTGGCTACTGACACTTCCGAGTTCATCAGGGTGGCATGTGTCCACTACAAATGAATTTAGGGTTGATACTGCTTGAAATGTCATGGCTTTCCTTCCCAAAATTCTGGGAATTCTAGTTCACTGAGGGTCCTCAGAATACTTTGAGAGTCCTGCAAGGCCTGCTCATAAAACTATAATTTAAACTGCACTGTAATTGGGTCCTCTCAATGTGGAAACACAGTTGAGAAGATATTGAGAAGAAGAACTGGAAAACCATCTTTATTGGAGGCAATGACAAATAAATATTGGGAATATAGCACTGCTGGCATTTTTCTCCTACATAGTTCCTCAACTTAGTACCTTCTAGACATTGTGGAGTTCAACTCCCTTCAGCCCAAAACAGTATGGCCAATGGTTAGGGATGCTGGAGATGGCAAACCAAAACATCTGGAGGGTACTGAGTTGGGAAAGGCTGCTCTAACCTCATGTGCCTTCCAAATTCTCCTGCATCTAGGATGTTTCCGATCCCCATGTGGCATGCCCATATATCCTCCTGCTGCACCAACTGCCAGCAACATCTGCAGAAGAATTCTGTGTCTACAGGATTATGGCAGTTTCTTTTTCACAAATGTTGGCATTTAACGTTCTCCAACTTCACACCTTTTCCCGTTTTCCCTGGAGCAGTTATTTTATGCATATGCAGAAACTATTCATAAACGTCCAATCAGCACAAAATGAACTGCTCTGATTTCGCTTTGTATGCAACTTGAATGTTTGCAGATCTCTTGATGTTAGTAGTTTGGTTGGCCTCTTCTTTCCTGAGCTCATAATATAAGCTTTACATTTTCCGTCTTTTGATTCTTTGAGAAGGCTTCATAGAATTTAAGGGTGCTTCTGCAAACGTGCAAAACTTGCTGCAAATGTGGTTTACTATTCTAGTGCTCTATACGAAGGATGGGAAATCGTTAAAACAACAACGAATGGGTATGTGCATCAAAGCACATGGCTTCTCGCACCATTTTTATCCCCGTGTCCTTGTGGATTACACTGTCGATCCTCATCATGCAATGATCTATCTTCAAAGTGGGGAGGCAGCCAAGAGGTGGGTGCTGTGTATGAGCAGTGTGTCCACTGTGGGTATTAGATGAACCAATGGCTATATCCAACCCTTCCAGCATCTCTGGGCAAGACTTAAGTCTTTCTCATGAAAGGCTTCTGATCCCCCCTGTGGCTTTGACAGCAGATAAGTGCTCCTTTGCTATTCTCAGTTTTCCTACTGTGGTATTGCCATGACCCATCCCTCCCCTCCCCTCCCCTCCCCTCTCCATGTGTGTATTGATCTGCTGCTGCCTGTCAGATTTTCTTTGACATTTTGGGCTTCAAATTGGGAAGGAGAACCTATGAGCCTTCCAGATGCTGTTGCACTACAATCTCCATCATCCCTGGCCACTGGCCATACTGACTGGGGCTGTTGGAAGTAGGAGTCCCAACAGTTTCTCTGCTGCTGACTTATGGGTGGCACTACAGTGACAACATCTATTTTTCATTGTAGTAACTTGGACAGACTTTGAATTTAATAAGCCTGCCTCTGGCCTCAAAAGATCTTTTAAAACATGGTGCAGAAGTGCTAGGCACCTGTTAGCTACCCCTGAGCCACACCATCTCTTGGGTGCCTCCCATGGGTAACAGAAGGACAAGCAGTTGTTGCTTGGTGCTGGTTTCTGTGATCAGGAGATGAAAGGGATGTCTGGGCTGCCCCTTGAATGAGCTTCTGGTGGCCCTGGTCCCAGACAGAGGTTTAAAAGGAGTGCAGCAGCATTTCCAAAGTGCCAGCCAAGTGTTTTCTTTATTGTGTTACAAGAACACAGCCCATCCTAGGAAATGGGGTTTGTTTTTTAAAACCAGTGTGATTAGTAAAACTTTAAAAAGCACCAGAAACTAAAACTACAGGGTTTTTTTTCCAAACTAGAACTTACTCTGCATTATATTCCTGAGTAGTTGCAGCTGGATTCCAAAACAAACAAACAAACAAGATGCCGAACTGAATGGCTAGCAGAAAAGAAGCAGTAGTCCACGTAAGGGGAAAATCTACTCTAGAACCCCTTCTATGCATTAGGGGAGTGTTGGCACAGTATTTATGAAAGATGCATTTACCACTGCTGGGGACGAACTAACAAATACAACAGAATCCCCACTGTGATGAAAGCGAGTGCATGTCTCAGACACAAATGCAATTGCAGGAGAAGTTTGAAAGGTAATATGTGCAGGGGAAGGTGGCCCTTTAAAAGCTTTTTTTTTTAAACATCTTATGTAGAGGTGTGAAGGAACAGAGATCATTTTAAAGGGAAAAAAGGGGGAAACCTTTACAATTCCTGCTGCTCCTTTACAAACCACGGAGAAAGAGATGGGGGGAGGTTGTGCCACCATAGCTCCTGATGAGCTCCCACCTCCCATGGGGTGAGGCCAGTGGGATCAGTGCTCCATTTCTGTGCACCCAAAAGCAAGCACACCCTCACCCCACTCTGGTGCTGACTTTCTCAAGAGTAAGCACTCTAAGGAGATAATGAGATTACTGTCTGAGTAGCTGTGCATTTGGCTTCTTTTCAGCTGTGTGTTCCTTGGGGGAAGGGGAGAATCTGATCTATTTGCCGGGGGGGGGGGGGAGGCGGCAGTGCATTTACTCTCCAGTTCATTGGGCAAGTGAAAGAGAGAAAAGCCAGGAAAGCATGTAAAGCATGTAGCAAGGGAGACGGGGTGGAACACTGAATGGAAAAGGTCTTCCACTGGCCCCAGTGTCTGACTTGGACATAGAGGTGGCCCAACCTGTCAAGTCTGACCTCATTGACTTCTCATCTTTTTACGCTTGAGCTTGCACTGTCCCAGTTCCATGTAAGCTTTTTTTTTCCTGTACAGAAATTCATTCTTGTGATTTGGCTTATCAAAATGCAAACCAAACAGATTTCTCATCCACCGCGATGGGGAAAGACGAATAGGAAACAAAAGTTAAAGGATGTGGCAGGATGCTGTGGGTAGTTTGAAAGAAAAAGGCAAGGAGTTTCTGCAAGATTTGAAAGGGGATGGGAAGTCAGCAAAGGGATCTGAGGAAGGGCAACACCTCATCTGAGTGAAAAGGGAGAGTTAAATGCTTTTGGCAGTGGTACTTTGGGCAGAGGTAAAAGGAGAGTGCAAACTGATGCAAATTGACTAGTGAAAGACTGCCACCACTTATCGCCATCAACAAGATCCCTTGTTTGGAGTCCTTCCGGTAGGTATTTTAGGTGTGAAAACAATTCTGTGAGCTGATCTATATTTATACCAATAACACACCCCAGGATGATCTCATAAACTGAGACTTGGTTCTAGAACAGATTTTATTCCTTGAAACACCTTTGATCACATATCTTGGCAGCACTGTATACATCTTGGGAGCCTGACACTATATATTTTTCTGTTTGCAGGCAAGTTTCTTGGTTCCTGAAGAGTAAAATAATATTTGGAAAACATTTTCCTCTCCGAAATTTTACTACGTAAGAGCAACCAACATGTAGATGATCAGAAGATAAATAAGCTTTCTAGAGTAATTTTGCCACGAGAACTTTATTCTGATACACAAATAATCATATGTCATTCCTCCAGGACATTTTCTTCATGGGAAGAAGTCCAGCTGGAGACCATTTGTGAAAAGTTTGATTTGGGAATGCTTCATCCAACCCTTTTTTCATGCAGAACTCTGATGTGTTTCCTTTATTTGTGACTTTTCTTTTCTTTTTTCAGCATGCTGGAATACTCTCTGGACTTGCAGAATGTCAGTTTCTCAGCTGTTCGGACTGTCAGGGTTCTCCGGCCTTTGAGAGCCATTAACAGAGTTCCTAGTAAGTTGAAACTTTCCCCCCTTTTTCCTTCCTCTTGATACTCGCTCATTATTTCTGACAATATGGGTTTAGAAGAATAACTGGGGCACCTTAGATCTTTTCCCAGATCCATTTAACAGGCTCACCTGCCTCTCCTCGCCACGCAGGCTGCGACTGTGTTTCTGTACTGCTATCCCCTTATGAGCAGCCTAACACCACTGTGCTCTTTCTAATGAATAGTCCATCCATCTTAGCCATCTTCTCAAAGGAGGAGTGAATCATTAATCGGACTTGCTATTTTGTTTCCAAATGCATTTGCTTTCCTTGTGCGCTGCTTCCCTTGCTGAACTGTCTTCTGCAAATGGGCCTCAGCAGAGTGAAAAAGTAACTTGGAGAGACCTGAGGTGTGATAGAAAAGCGGGCACTGTGTGTTTCTCCCTCACTTGTGTGCATGAATGTCTATGAAATGTCTGGTAGGGTAAGAAAAAGAATTCCTCTCCTGAAGGTTGCCACATACTCTTTGTTTTAAGGAAAAAACTTGTCTCTTAAACATCACTGGCCCTTTGACCATGTGGAATTTCACTTACTTCATGCCTTCTTCTCCCCTACAAGCTTCATGACCTTCTGCTCAACCTCATGCGCCCTTAGAATTTTATTGTCCTTATGACATGCCTATGCCAAATAGGAATTAACTTTGGACAGTTGGCGCTGAGGCACCTCTTCTTCTAGGCTATGCCAGTTTTTCATCTATCTCAAGTTAATGACGTGAGCCATATTATTTTGGTATGTCAGAGTAATTCAAGGTGTCTTTGACCTTCCAGAAAGAATGAGATGGACCACACAGGTCACTTTCCTCTCAGTTCGCTGGAAAAATCATGCAGAAGAATATGATACAATTATTTGTTTGGGAAAATTGGTTGATTAGACACAAAAATGAATTCTGATAATGGCTGGCTTTCTCCCTCTGGCCTGTAGTCCTACTTTTCTTTATGCCTCTCCCAAGACTTGTTTTCCTCAATGGTGGACATTTCAGTCCTGAGTTTTACCTGATCTGTGCAGTCTCTTTATGTTTTGCCTCTCAGAGTGACTACTCTGTTAGAGGCCAACATTTCTAAGCTATGGAGGGGGAACTCGTGAAGTCTGGCTCTACAGTTTAAAAGAAACAAGTAAGGCACAGTCAGCTTGCCATGTGTGAGAGGCTGACCAACTATCTATGCTATGACCAAGATAGTCCTACTTCCACAAACAGCCTTTACCTGTATTGTCACATTCCAAAACTTTCCATACAATAAATGCAAACTGTTGTTTTTGCTTTGAACTCCTCTCTAGTTTTGGGACTCAAAGGTTGACCATGGCAGCTTTATTACAATCTGCTGCCCACTATAATGGTATGTGTTTGGGGAGGAGGGTGTGCAGATACATCTATGCAGGGCTTTTTTTTTGTCATAGAACACACCGGAACAGCGTTCCGGCACCTTTTTCCAATGGATTTTCCACATGATTTTGAATCGCCCTGTGGGACTCAGCGGCAAAATCATTAAAATCGTGCATGCGGGCTGCTTGTGTGTCCGCGCTGGTTGTGATGGCGCTGCTCGGCTTTTGGCGCTGCTCGGCTTGTGATTGGTCATGTGGTTGCGCACTGAGTGCTTACTGCAGGCGGTGACCATTATGTTTCATTACACAGTGTTGGTGTGTGTAGAGTGACTGGCTATGTGCAGAAGCACTGAGTGCTTACTGCAGGCGGTGACCATTATGTTTCATTACACAGTGTTGGTGTGTGTAGAGTGACTGGCTATGTGCAGAAGGTAAATAATTTCTTTATTTTAAAAAAAGTTGGTGAATTGAACATCTTTTTTTAATTTTTAGTGTGAAAGTGTGATCCCAAATTTAAAAATGAAAAAAAGTACTTATTACTTCTCAACCACCGGTCCTGCTAATAAAAGATTACCCTTAAAAAAAACCCTAAATAAAAGATTAACAAGATATGAGTTCTGGCACTTTTTTTTTTTTTTTACAAAAAAAGCACTGCATCTATGTATGCCTGTATGTGTGTATTAATTTGCATAGATAAATATGAACCTATACATACACAGTATGTACTACTTAAGTCCCTACAGAAATATATCAGTATGTCCTGCACACACAACTAATGGTTTAGGATCTTAATTGCATATATTTTCCTAGTGCAAAGCACTGATTCTCATTTTTTTAAAATGCTTGAAGATACTGTAAACAACAAAACTCACAGTCCTATGGCACAATCAGGAGTTAGTGCTAGTCATATTAGGACAATAATAAAACTCTCAAATCCCAAGGAAACTTTGTATGCACCCTAACTTGAATGTACCCAATTGAGTCAATGCCCAAATAAGTGAGGGACTCAGTCCTGCCCCTCTATTTAACTCTGTGTGTGCTGGGTGCAAGACTTTGTGGCACTGAGTCCAAAGCCAGCATCGGTCCAAAAAGGCCATCTTGTCAAACTAGCCTGTTACCTTGACAACATGAAGCAGTTGGACCTTGATCCATCTGTCAGAAACAGGAAATTCCTAGACTCTATTGGCCTTTCTAATCCCTTTAAATTAGTTTTAATCCAGCAGCATGTTCTCTGTTGTTGCTGCCACTGCTTTTATCATTTTATGGCTTGGGAATCTCTCTTGTAATCCCACCCCCACAAGCAGGGGTGATGGATGGCTGAATTTATCAGCCACTCTCTAAATGTGGATGTAATTCACTTAATGTATTTGCAAATCATGGGTAATTTAACTTTGTTCCCATGCAACAAAGCTAGGACTGCACGGGAACATAAGGAAGCAAAGCAAAGAACAAGTCTGAATAAATAATACATGTAAGGACCTAAAGGAGGTCATTTAGGAATAGCTTTGAGATGGTGGGGTGCATCCGTAGAGGGCAGGCTATTACTTTGGCACGGGTGAAGCAAGCAGGTGATCTGAAAACATAAATATGAAATAGTCTTGCTGAGGAATAAAGGTAAAGGAAATGGCATTAAAGGTTTCTTTAAATAAGATCAATATGAATGATGTAGATGAAAAGACAAGGAATATGAAAGAGAATGGAGAACAGGAAGACAGAAGGATGAACTGAATATTGCAGAAATGTCGGATGAAATAATTTTTTGTGCAAATGTCAACTTAAGTCTCCATCAATTTGTTTTTCTGTTACGGAACTGAATGTTCCTGACCTTGTGTGAATTATCTGTCTTGTAAAGTCATGCATACTTGTGGAGACGGGATTTAAATGAGCAAAATGGAATTAGGGTAGGAAGAGGCATGAAATGCCTCTCTTAAAGCTGTGTTACAGGCAGGAGGGACTTTAAGCTGAGCTTTGCTTCTATTTGAGATCATGTTGGTCCCACCCTATTTGCTATCATCTGTAATCCCACATTTTGAAGCACAGATACTCCTCATGACAATCCCCACACCCACAAGAAGCAATAAATTTCAGCTGGCTGTAAATCATTTCTTTGAATTCAGTCCCGCTCTGCCCCTGGCAGTGGGTTTTTGTGTGAAAAACCCATCCGCGGCCCAACAGAGTATGGGCTCCGTCCTAGATAGTTGGCCCCTCTCCTTTCCTTTCCCCACAGTCCTCCTACGGGTATCCCAGAATGCAGCATGACTGAGTTGCCACATTCACAAGTCAGTGCTGGCTTGCCATGGCTTTTATTAACCCTTTACACATTGTTTCCTGGCTATCACAATCCGTGTTCTTGGTTTTTAAACACATTTAGCCACAAAGTGGGGGAGCCTATTTCGATCCTCTTTAGGTTGCTTTTGAACCTAAATGACTCCCGCACTCTAACAGTAAATACTTTCCCCCCAACATCACCCAACTGGGAGTCCTCATCTCCCCACTCACTGAACTCTGAACCATTTCTGCACAGTTGCACAATGTATCTAAGAAAATGAAAATAAGTGCCTGAGCAAACTTGGCAAGAGCAGTAAAGGAGCGTTTCCTCTTTTGTCCCAAAGGTTGCTACCCAATTTTCTGTACACACTGTGAATTGTCAGACTCACTCATGGAGTTGAAGGGTAATTATTCAAGGATACAGGACTGCAGCCATGCTCCTCCAGCTTAATTGTGAGATTGTATTAGTGTATACATATTAGAAATCTCTGTATTCTGTTCAGTTGTATAGTAGACCCGGAGCTCATGGCAACCAGTAACTTTTATCAGCAGGCATGCTGGTATCATCTGCCATCATCCTCCAAGTTCTCTGTCTACTCTTAGCTCCACTACAATCTTAGCTAGGGGTAAGCGAATTTTCCTAGCAACCACATACTGCTCTTGGTTGTAAGGTAAAGTATTTTGCCTTGGTGTTGAATGGGCAGTAAAGACCCGTGGTGTTCTTGGTGGAAAGGGAGATGCCAAGAGTTGATTTGTGGAGACAGAGCCACACAGCTGACTGTCATGTTGGACTCTCCCTGGGGGTCTGTGCCTGGAATGATCCTTGTGAAAATCATTGCTTATGGAGTTTTAAACTACAGGATCAGTCCATCTGAGTATAAACAATAGTAATGCAGAACCTCAGGTTTGTGAGGATGGCTTCTCCTTCAGAGTAAAGCTACGGGGGCTGTAATGGGAAGCTCCTGTACTTAAAATATACCATTGCACCACTGATTGTGAGCCTTTCCTTTATAAGAGGTTGGTCACCCTTTACATATGTGAAGACAGTATCTCTCACCTTGCATGTATCAGGTGATGTCACTGCTTGGTGTAGTCTGGTGATGAAGCCATGAGAAGCTCATACCATCCGTGACTCTGTGGTTTTAATGTCTCCATGTTCATAAGACCAGGAAGGAATTTTCCTTGAAGTTAAATTCAACGCTGAAGAATTCCTCCACGTTCCGAGAGGGGGTCAGGAAAACTACCCAGCACCAAGAGGATGGGCTTCCTTTGAGGTGGCCCTCATTTATGGAATGACCTCCTTACTGAGGTGGCCTGTTTGTCATCCTTTGAATAAAGATGTTGTATTCCTTGAAATTATTTTATTTATTTTAAATCATTTTCATCTATTGTAATTGTAAACTGCCCAGAGACTCCTATGGGCTAATGTGGTGGTATAGAAACATGATTCTTCATCATCGTCATCATGGTCATCGTCATCATCATCTTTGCCCTTTCTTTAGTGCCAGGTTAAGGTGGCCCTCTGTGCTGAGGCTTTTAAAGATATACTGGGATATCCAAGGCTTTAGGGAATTACCCATTACAGAGCTATTCTTTATTGTATGTTTTTAATAAGATTTTGTGTCATTTTATTTTCTCTCATGAACCCCTCCCTGCAAAGTTTCAGCTATGGTATAGAAATGAAAGGAAATAAATACATAAATAAAATAAGGGTTTGCATCAGTGTAAATGTGTGGTACATACTAGGACTAAGTAAATTGTTCCAAGAGTTAACATACCAGAACACTGAAAAGTAAGTCTGGAGTGGGGTGGGGGCATGTAGCCATTTTGCATTATCCTCTGCTCATCCTAGAGGCAAGGAGAACCAACTGAATAGGACTTCTCCTCTTTGACTGATGCTTTTCCTTTGCCTCCTTAGGTATGCGTATCCTGGTCACCCTGCTTTTGGACACCCTTCCCATGTTGGGAAATGTTCTCCTCCTCTGTTTCTTTGTTTTCTTCATATTTGGCATTGTTGGAGTCCAGCTTTGGGCAGGTCTGCTCAGGAACCGCTGTTTCCTACCAGAAAACTTCAGCTTGTAAGTATAAATTCAGCACAATATATGTCCTAACTTGCAATGTATGACTGTGAAAGCTGGACCATAAGGAAGGCTGAGCACCGAAGAATTGAGGCCTTTGAATTGTGGTGCTGGCGGAGACTCCTATGAGTCCCTTGGATCGCAAGGCGATCAAACCGGTCAGTCCTAGAGGACATCAACCCTGACTGCTCTTTAGAAGGCCAGATACTGAAGATGAAACTCAAATACTTTGGCCACCTAATGAGAAGGAAGGACTCCCTGGAGAAGAGCCTAATGCTGGGAACAACTGAGGGCAAAAGGAGAAGGGGATGGCAGAGGATGAGGTGGCTGGACGGAGTCACTGAAGCAGTTGGTGTGAGCTTAAGTGGACTCCGGGGGATGGTGGAGGACAGGAAGGCCTGGAGGAATGTTGTCCATGGGGTCGCGATGGGTCGGACACAACTTTGCGACTAACAACAACAACATATGTCCTAAGGACAGGAGAAGGCACCTTGTGGCTTCCAGGTGTTTTGGCCTACAACTTGCATCATTCCTCAACACTGACTAAAGGCTGATGGGGGTTGTAGGCTAAAATCTGGAGGACCTCAAGTTGCCAACTCCTGTCATAAGGTATCCTTGCAAAGGTGTTTTGCATATGCAAGCAAGCAAAGAGTTTCTCAGAGTGAAGATGCTCATTCCCATAAGGACTCCAATGTGGGATGACTCTATTCCCTGAATGCCCATATGGCAATTGGGTAGGACTCTAGGCTGTGTGCAAGATGCACAACCCACAAAGAAGAAGATGTAGGTGGCAGCATGAACCTGTCCAAAATCCTTTGCTACATCACCCTTTTTTCATTGTTGTCAACTATCAGGAATTTGTTTTCGAGGCAATTTAATGATAAAAAAAATTGGTACTAGCAGGCTTGTAAATCCACCGAAATCAAATAATGGCTAACAAAAGAGCAGAGATAAAATGGAGAGCCAAAAAGCCTAAGGATTTTTCCCCCTCAGAAAGGGCTGGTACTGAAAGCGCCCTTTTTCCCTTTGACTGCCCACTCAGCATAGCCTCAGCAGGGGAATTTGGAAGAGAGCATGAAAGGGTGATTGCAGTCTATGGGTCAAGTTGTGTTAGGGTTTTAAAACCAGTGAAGTTGTTTAAGCATCGGCAAGAAAAAATTCCCCATTGCCCAGTCTCAGTGAAAACAGTAGCAGCTACTGTATATGTTATTGCTTGATATTCACTTGGGCAAATATGCACTGATCTCTGTTTGCATTCCTTCCAGCTCATGCTCATTTCCAATAGCAAGTTGGACATTTTGCTTGTTTGCTTGCTTGCTTGCTTCTTTGGTTGCTTGCTTGCTCTCTTTCCTTTCTCTTTCTCTCGTTTTTTCTCTCCTTTCATCATGCATTGGTTGTTCTCTTACATAGTGATTCAGGATCTACCACTGGTAGCCTGAGGCCTTATTTTCTGGGCAACCAGACAAAGAGGTGAGACATAGTGCCTCTTCACTAAGGTCAAAACTGAATGAGTAGCAGAGTTCAAATTATGTCCTTGGTAGGAAAGCATGAGCAACTTTTTTTCTTTCAGCCTTGCTTTCACTTTCCTTTGAATCGTTGTCCTCAGAGCTGCCTAGCCAATGTGCCAGTCGTGTGACCACTCCTGAGGTGAAAGCTAGTCAACTTGTGAATTTCTTACTAAAATATTAGTAGGTATCCTGAGGCAGGAATGTATACATTTGAGTCTAATAAGTGTGGATATTTTATTTAAAGATGCGACATTAAACTGTATACTCTGTCTTATTCAGTGTGGTGTAGGGAAAAAGGCAACTGTATTATCTCCACAGGAGCCTTCTGGATGCTGAGGGAAAGCATGGAGCCCAGGGACATCTCAGCCACCTCCTGATTTAGTCTCATGGGTGGAGTTGAGGGCTTGAGGCTCTCTTGTACAGGGTGTCTGTGGCGCTGAGTGAAGGAGAAGGAAAACTCCAGTGAGCGGCCTGAGAGGTGGTGGTTGTAAGACTGACGGAGGCAGGAGGAAGAACTCTGCCACCTCCTATCTGCAGAGGGGCAGCTAAGTAATTTTTGACCCCCGGACTTAATGTTCAAGGGGAAGAGGGGCTGCTTTAAGCAGCCTTGTGAAACACATGGCTAACATTTCTGTTCTCGAACACACACACCCCACCTCCATTCCATTTCTTACAACTGCCTCTACACTGGGACAGCATCAAAATACCCAGAGGGTGAGAAAATCTCTCCCTGGCCAAGACTGATGATTATGATTTCTCCTACCTCCTTTGATTTCCCCTTCCTCCCTTTCTTCAATGCCCCCAGTGTCGTGTGGCCTCATTGTGGCACTTCCAGCCTCAGTGCATCCCATCACCTCCCACCCATCCTTTCTAGCCCCAAACCACAGAATGCAAGCTGCTTGAATTTTGCACATTTGTTCATCTTGCTATGACAGAGGAGGAAGTGATGTGCTTCAGCTGAGGAGAGGACAGAGGAAGGCAGGAAGTTCAGCAAGGCTTTTCCAGGTCTTGGCTCTAGGAGGGTGCGTGGGGACAACACAGATTTTGCTTCAGGCAGCAAAATGTGTTGGGCCAACACTGGCTACCTCATATTCCTGTCTGTCTGCCATGGTTGGATTTTCCCATTGCACTATATGTATATGGCAGTGATGGTGAACCTTTTAGAGACCGAGTGCCTAAACTGCACCTAAAACCCACTTGTTTATCACAAAGTGCCAACACTGCAATAAAACCTGAAAACTGAGGTTTTAATTTAGAAAAAACAACTCACAGCCAGTCCAAGCAAAAAAATATATATCCTTGGCAGCGCACTGCCGGCCATGTGAAAGCTCGGACGAGTAGAGACTAATGAGTCGTGGCTCGTGATGTCATTGCCTGGCACCGCTACTCTTTTCTGAGCATGCGCATGGCCCCACGTGCGCTGTTATCTGACGCTTGGCTGCTGGGGCGATGCTGGGGTGACTTGGCTCGCGTGCTGACAGAGAGGGCTCTGTGTGCCCACAGTGGCACACGGTGCCATATGTTCGCCTCCACTGGTATATGGGATCTATAGATTCCTGGATTTCCAGTTGCAAAATGCACAGGTCCTCTTCCTAGCATTGCTAGCATTGCTTCTTGTGAAGCCCCTGCCCCACCTTGAGTCCTCCCAGGGGTTTTAGATGAGAGCCCCAGCATCCTTGGTCACTGGCCCAGCTAGAGGAGACTAATAGGAGGTGACATGCCCAACGCATCTGGAGAGCATCCGATTGGGGGGGGGCTGCTGTAGAACAAAAGCTTTCAAAATAACTAACCTCCCCCCCATGCAGAAGACATAAATAACTCATTATTAATAGTGTTGCCACCAGGTAATGAAAAACGTGCCCTTAAAGCACAGAGAGACGTTCCTGTTGAATTATATTTGCATGTATTATGTCAGACTTTCTTAATCTAGCTAGTAGAAAACATTGCCAGCCAAATAGTGTACAAGAGCAATACTTCAAATGTATTTATAATTATACAGAATGCATTTGCATAGCACTTGAGAGTGTTTCAAGTGCTTCACTTACATTGGCCCTGATCCAGGAAAAGTTAGTCATGCTCCTATCTCGATTTCTGTGTTACTTACGGGTGACTGACTAACTCCAGATTTGGGTTGTTATTGCAGTACTGAATCTCAAGGCTGCTTTCAGTGCGGCAAGGAAACAGTGTTGGGCTGGGGCAGGAGGGCCTTCTTGGCAACCTGCTGAGCAGCCTGAGTAGGGCTGAATATAAGATTCCCTTGACCTTGCACAGGAGGTCTGTGCCGATTCGGCTGGTGCTGTGAAGGTGGGCCTGCCTAGCACCTTTCCCTTTTGCTTGTGCACTTGCTTGAAGCGAAAGCAGATGCAGCCTTCAGCGTGATACAGAATCCTGCGCTGAGGGGAGGGAGGGGGTTTCCCTCTCACCTTACGTTTTGCATTCCTCTCTTTTAGGAAGCTTCCTCTCTCTGCAAAGGGAGGAGGGACTTCATTAACATAGAAAATCACTTTAGGTAAATTGGCAAAAATAAACAAATATTAAACAAACAACAGCTTAATTCTGGGGAGATCCGGTGCAGCTGCTGTTTTGCGTGCTCTTTAACGGAACCGGAATATCAGGGTAATGAATGGCATCAAAAGCAATACTTCAGGCATTAGCCCAGCTGAATTTGCCTTAAATGTGGCTTTCCAAGCTTTACCTTGAGTCCTCATGGCATCAGGGAAGTAGCCATTCCTCAAGGTGGAAGGATGTTACTTTCTGGCAAGGTGTCACTCACATCCTTTGCGTACCAGTGTGAGTGGCCACGTTTGCATGTCACACTAGCCCACTTTGACAATAAGGTACATTAGGTTGGTTGTCATGTGAGCAATCCACAGTCGGTCAGGGTCAACATGGGTTGTGGGGTCCTCCTTTCCCCTCCTCCCTGCGCAACCCTTTCAGGGTGCGCTTGCGAACTGAAGGCAGCCGGAGGACATACGTGCTCCTTCCATAATCCTTAAGCATCACGTTGCAAAGGGGGTTCTTCAGACTCCACCCCACTTTCTAAGCCTCATTTGTATAGAGGGAAGGCGCTACCATGTTTCTTTCTGTCAGGGAAAGGCAAGGTCGCGACTAGTGTGCTTCCCCGCAAAAAGGAAATTCCACTAGCATCTTGGCAACAAGAAAAAACAGGAGGCTTCCTACTTTTGCCTGTTCTTGAAATGGTAGAATCTCAGGAACAAGGGCAAAAATGAGGAGAACCTGGGGAAACATCACCTCCCCCCAAAACCCCCAAGGTTCTTGCCACAGAGGGGCTGTTCAGCGTGCCACCCTTCTTTCAGAAATAGCTTTGGGACCCTGGGATAGTGCACCTTCTGTCACCTGTCACATGGTTTCAAAGGGGGGTGCTGGCTTAGCTGTAACCTTGGGTGGGCAGGTATGGGGTGGGTGCCAACTGGATTTTGGCAGCAGTACCCTACCTGGGTACACAGGGTTCCTATGGCCATACCTGCTCTCCTCTGAGTTTGCACACAAATGTGGCCAAAAATATATTTCAAAACAATATTGTGTACCAATATTTATGTACATTTTTGGGGTAAACAGAAAAAAAAGGTGGACCAGCCTGGGCCTCTCCAAAGTAGAACACCACTGGAGGGATTGCTCAGAGCTGTCAAAAAGGGGATTGCGTAAGGCGAAAGAAGACTGAAACAGCTCTTGGAGAGAGGGACACTTGTCCTGGCTGCCGCCAAGTGCTACTTGGACACTTGGAGTGTGGCTGGTCGTGGTGCTGAGCCAGGAGTCCCATAGCAGTGTGGCAAAGTTACTCAGTCACTCTTTCCATGGGGCTCACTAGCTGATTTTCTATACTTACGGAAGGGTTGATTGACTGGATTTGGCCGACATGACAGCCCATCAGGAGTACAGCAACCTCTAGAACAAGCTATGGGCTGTTGACCCTGGTGAAATTGCTACAGGTTTGCATGACATGTCAATCCCCATGGGCAGCAAGCAAGCCATGAGGATTGTGGTGTGTGAACCAAGCCAGTGTGTTGAACTGGCTTCTTAGTCCAGCAGGGTTTATTGAAGGAATTTTCCTTTCCAATGCCAGGAAGGCAAGGGGCTACAAATGGTGCCTGCCAGAGGCAGGGGTGCACGTATGCACGAAATGCAACAGTGGCATTTCTGAAGGGCATTCTGGGCTGGTTCGCATGACATGATAACCCACCATGGCTTATGTAGCCACGGGGTGCTCCGTTGTGCAGGGTGCCCTCAGCTGCTCCCTTTTAAGGGTGTCCAGGGGCACCCAGCTTACTGTGGCTTGTCATGTCCTGGCAGGCAGCATGGCTGCCAGGAGTAGGCCTACTTGAGGACTACTGCCCCTCCAACAAGCTGCCTCCACGGATCACACAACATAGTAACCTGTGCAGGCTGAGGGGAATTAGGCGAATTCCACTGACCTGTAACCAGAACAAGCCATGGGAAGAATAAGACTGTGTGAAGCCAGTCCCTTAATCCCAGTAAGGTTTGTACTTTTTTGCTGTTTCTCTTCATCCAGTGGAGAGGGGGGAATCTTAGCTACTCCTTTTGGAATATCATTATTCACCTGAATAGGTTGAAATTTTAAAAGGCACACTGAGAATTTTGAGGATGAGAAATCTCTCTCTCTCTCTCTCTCTCTCTCTCTCTCTCTCTCTCTCTCTCTCTCTCTCTCTCTCACACACACACACACACACACACACACACACACACACACACACACACACACATCATGCCTGGGCCAGTTGAAAAACAGCTCTGTTGCCCCCACCCTGCTCCTAGGAAGTGGGAAAATAGCATTAGCTGATAGATAAAACAAGACAAGAAAGATATAAGTAAAAACAATTATGTATTTTTAATAGCAGTACTAGTTTTAAAATTGCCGGCTTTTAAGCCAAAAGAGTAAAATCTTTATAAACAGACTTGGAACTGCGTATTAGCCTCCTCCTTGCATCCTTTCCTTTGGTCTCTCAATAGGAAAGGCTATTCATGGACATTCTAACTTAATGTTCATCCTTCCTGAATACTTGAGGCCAAGTCGCTAAACGCCTTGGTATGTTTTCTTTCTCACTGACTGATGCACTCAAATTATGCATGCTACCCAATCTTTTCTGGATTCTGCTTTTCCTCAAATGGCTTCAGTTGTTTTATGCAATCCACAAGGACATAATGATTGCTATTCTGAGGTCAGTAAATCAGGCCTATCCAGCCCTATATCCTGTCTCTGATGTTGGCCAGACCCAGCAGTTCAGATGAAATTATTCAAGAAAAAGGGCCATTTTGAAGCAACATTATCTGACATTAACTTCTGAACTTCAAAACATCAGCCATTCACAGACATTTGAAAAATTAAATTGCCCTCCTGCACAATCCAAATGCCCCTGTCCTCAATTACTTTTTCTAATTGCTTTGTCTGAACCCAATTATCCTATTGGCATCTCAGGGCCGTGAGTTCCTCGGATTATTTTTCTTAGGATTATTACTTTGCATTTATATCCCACCCTTTTTCCTCTCGTGAGGGACCCAGGCTGCTTTGCACGGGCCGCCTCCTCTGCGAACGACCTGCCTTGTTTCGCTCTTGTTTGTTTTCAGTCTGCCTCTCGCTGAGAGCTTGGCGGGCTCCCAGCTGCTCGTGATACAGAAGTGGTGAAGCTGCTTATTCGCCTCCCGCGTTTCACTCAAGCACGCTCTTGCTCCTGTATCGTGTTCGTTGTCCCTTTCAGGGAAACAGATCAGATATAAGCCTTGAACACTGAAACAAGCATAACCTGCCACATGTCTGCTCTCCTTCAGCCCTTACACAGTAGAGCTGGAGCCATACTACCAGACGGAGAATGAGGATGAGAGCCCCTTCATCTGCTCGCAGCCTCGAGAGAACGGGATGCGTTACTGCCGCAGCATCCCCACGCGGAGGGAAGAAGGCCTGGAGTGCACCCTGGACTATTATTCCTACAACGACACCACCAACACCTCTTGTGTCAACTGGAACCAGTATTACACCAATTGTTCTGCTGGGGAACACAACCCTTTCAAAGGAGCGATCAATTTTGATAACATTGGCTATGCGTGGATTGCAATATTTCAGGTGAATGACATACTGCCCTCACTCTCCCAATAGGCTATCCGCCTTGTAGGGGGAAAGCTAGGTCAATGCTTGTTCCTGCTCTAAAACAACTTATTCTGATAACAGGGGAGTAATATTTCAGTGGTGGAGAGTCACTAGTATCTGTTTTTTTCCTTATAGACCTATGATAAATATAAAATGCATCAGTACTAAACTGGCATGAAATGATATTTTGCCCAACCTCAGTTCCTGGGTATGTGCCAATTTATTGTTGTTGTTTAGCCATTATCTAACATATAACCTACAATGAATAACAACATTGTTGTATCTTTTTCTAATCAAGCACAGATGCCTACTTTTTTGTGACTAATACACACTCACACCACTTTTATATGCTGTGTAACTGATACATCCAGTCTTCCATTAGATAGTAAGCTTCTCCTAAGAATTATAATCAGTGAATTTCTTTATTCCTTGAGTGTTGCTGTTCTTTTTGTTCTCATTAACTTTTTAAAAACTTTAGTTTATCCATTCTTTTCAGTATCCACAACTGTATCTTTGATAGCCCAAGGCAAGCTTACCTATGACTCCCCTTTCTTTTGCTTTATCACAGGTCATCACTTTGGAGGGCTGGGTAGATATCATGTACTTCGTCATGGACGCTCATTCCTTCTACAACTTCATCTATTTCATTCTCCTGATCATTGTGAGTTTTTTTTCTTTCCAGTCTTTGCAGCAACCAGAGGCATTCTGCTTGGGTTGCTCTAGAAAACAGAGCAACGCAGGGTGTGTGGAAGGAAGGGGCAATTGGCGAGAGGAGGGAGGGAGAAATGGACCCAGAAGGAACAGCGTCCCCATTTCTTGAGGCTCCCCGCTCCACATGCTCCATGTGCCTCATCCTCCTCACTGACAAATACAGCCACTTAGGGATTTTTGAACATGAAAATGCACTTTTCCAAGTGTCTCCACACACATGAAAATGCATCCTGTTTTTAAATTGTGAAATCTATTGCAGATTGTCAAAGCGGGGAGGGCACACCTGGCAAATACGGTAGCAAGTTGGCAAATGCGCAGGCTTCTTCCGAACAACCATTTTCTCATTCACGCTCATGTTTGCAGTTGCAAGTGGGACATTTTCATCACTTCTTCAAATGCGAACTTACTTCCCAAATGGTCCAGCAAAGGAGGTCATCAAAAATGGTTCTATGTGTCCCTTTTGTCTGTGCAAGGATGATAAGTGGTAAATTAGCCCATCAGTTAAGTGATTAATTTGTTCCAATCGGAGATAGGGAAGGCCCATTTCCTTAGTGATGGCTACTTCTTCGCCTTTCCTTTTCAAATCTGTCGCAGGACTCATGCCCTCTATTCTGTTCTTTTTAAAAACAAACATGAGATTGATGCTGAAGCAAGCAGCTCAGGTGGGGGGGGGGAGCCCACTGTGTAGTGCAATCTTATGCCTGCTATTAGATGACCCTCAAGTTTAACCTGCAATAACAAAGACAAGTCAAGATAGTTTGATCTCTTTCTGGTTCTTGTATCAGTGCGTACCAGAGTGTTTTGTTTTGGCCTCAGGTAACCCTTACGTTTTTCTTACAATATGCCTGGCTGAGCTAGTTAGGTTTTACCTCTCCCTTCCTTACCCCTGATATATGTCCTGATTGTATGTGTGCGGGGACAGAGGCGATGGTATGGTAAATAGCCATCAACAAAGCTAGAAGAAAGAACAGTATTTTTGTTATAAGGGCAGGAGGAGGAATTTAAGCACTGAGTGCTCTGTTCTCTCTGGAGAGGCTACACTGGGGTGGGAAACTGGTCTACTGGCTGGTTGTGCCCCGTCTGGCTTCCCCTCCTTGCCCTTACTCTGGTTGGAGATTCGGCTTTTGGGAAAAACGAAAGGAAATGTCCATTCAGGCCAGTGGCGTTTTTAAAAGAATGGTCGTTGCACAAAGACAACTGGGGCAAGGGACTGGCACAGCTGGAAGGAGAAGGGATACCCTTTCTCATGCTGCAGGTGTGCTGGAATGCCCCCCTCCCCCGCCGCTGCCATGGAAGTTCGGCTCAGAAAGAGTCCTGTTGGCTGCAAGATTGCCAGACAAACTTTGCTGAGCTTGCAGCTGTGGAAGGGAATGGCTCCTTCTCCCCTCCCTTTGTGGGTGCTGCAGCTCCTCCAAAGCCACCCCCATGCATGGCAATTAGGTCTCTGAAGAGCCTCTGGTGTGGGGCTGGATTCCACCCCAGCTGTGGGTGTGAATATATGGGGGCACTGTGAGAATGCATTTGTGTGAATTAGTGTGCGGGAGCGGGGGAGATGGCCCCCTGCCCACCTTTTGCTTTGGCCTAGGCTGCCTCTGGCATTCAGTCCTTCAAAGGCTAGCCAGAAGGGAAAGTGGCTTTTCAGCTGAAAAGAGTTCCCCAACCCTTATCTTATAGGATGAGATGTTTGGAGAAGCTATAGAGCCCTCTCTGGTTGAAGTAATAAGTGCCATCTGAGGGTAGTTAGAAGGAAGACCGCGAGCCCTGTGGTGTTCGCACATCCAGAGCATAGTGTGCCCTTGACACCCTGCTCCGCGGGGCATTTTGCAGCACATACACCTGTACGAGCACAATTATTTACACAGTCCAGGTCAAGGTAAGCACCTCTGTCAGATGTCAGTGGGAATGTTTTAAGCCCATGTCGCCATTAGTGGAACAGAAAGATATCCCCTTAGCTGGGCAATGCCCTAACTAGTGATGCAATTTTCAGGGGGGAAAAGGTAAATTGGACTATTTGCCAATGCAAATTAGGCTGATTTCTGATGCAAAGGACCTGTACAAAAAATTCCCTTTGCACTGGAAAATCATTAGAGGGTGAGGAACATGTTTACTAAATATAAGTAAAAAAAAACAACAAAGTTAAATGCTATCTTTTTGTCTCAATATTCTACAAGTATGTGACCTGAAGTATGAGGGGAAGGAATAAGGCACACTTATATTACATATTCATTTCATTGAAATTATGGTAAAATTTTAAAGACAATAGCATGTACTCCCCTTAGTGCTTGCATAGAAGGAACAAAGGCCTTGAAAGCTGTTGACGGACGAAGGGCACAGTCCCAAGCATGCTTAGGCAGGGCAGGGCATGCTGGGAGCTTCTTTCTGCCTCCACATTCATAGGACTGTGCTGTAATTCAACCTCCCACAACCTCTCATGCTTTGCCAATATGGCCGGCCCCCATCCTCTGCAGGTCAGCAGCACGTAGGGTACCGGGTTGGAGAAGGCCACACGAATTAATGCGAGCAGCCCAGAGAACTGTGCATGACATGCCGAGCACCAGGCATCCGTTTCAACCGGGTTCAGCTCTCTTCCACGGAAGTTGTTGGGCACCTTCCATTTCTCTGTCACTGCCCATTTGTTCCATTTCCCTCCGAGACAAATGTGTAATTCGGTAACTTGTATGTATTCTCTCACATACTCACTTAGGATAATCACCTGAAAATCGTTAATTACAGCCTAGAAACTGCCAAGTTTACCTAACACTGTATTTGCCATTGGCATTCGTTCATCATTACTAATGAACGTATGAAACAGAAAAATTTATGTGGAAAAATAAAGCACTGGAAAGTGTTCTCCCCACTTCACTGGCTCTAAGAAAACAGACCCATCACATAGTGTTACAACTGATAGGCCTTGTCAGCAGTCACCATTTAGACGTTTATTAACCTTGGAGCAATTACTTCCCATCTTATCAAAAATTGAGTGAATTGCTCTTGGGCTTTCCAAATAAAATAGTGGGGTACAACTTGTCAAGATCATCCAGGATTTCTTAGGCTGATACGGATGCTGAACCATGCCTAAATGGGAGCCCATTTGGACTGAAAGTTGGGTTAAGACACCTAGATTAAGCAAACATTGGCTTGAGGCCTCTCTGATCACTGCTTACGAGGCAGCCTTCCCTAGTCTAGTTTTCTTCAGGTGCTGTTGGACTCCCAGGCTGTGGAACTTCCTGCTGAAGTTCTGGGTTGCGTAGGTTGGCTCCTTCTTTGCTCTCCTTCCACCAACAGGCAAATACTGTTTTATTTGAGCAAAACTTTGGCGTGGAAGCTTCTTGTTTTCACTGAGTGCCAAACCTTCTTGTGGAAAACTTTCCATGACTGGTGTGGCTCCATCAAGAAGGTCTTCTCCCTAGTAGCCACTCGCCTCACCTCAGGATGCCCAGCAATGAGGAACATAATGTACAAGTGGGTAGCTAGAGACACCCTAGCTCCAAGTCTTGGAGGACATCACAGATCGACAGCGGTTTTTTTCAGCTGAGCATGGAAGCGGTCTGAGAACCAGTGCCATTGCATGGCATGGGCGTTATATGATCATAATGCCAAATCCTTGTAATCCAGTAGCCGCCTTCTGCACAGCTTCCAAAATTCTGCCAAGACAGTTTTGGGCACAGGGGCACTATAGCAGTCTCACCTGAAGGTTTTCAGAACATGAGTGCCTGAGACACAGGCATGCTTTGTAGAGTGTGCCGGCCTTCCAACAAAAGCCCAGCTGCAGAATCATCAGAAAGACAACTTGCTTCATCCTTCCCCAGCCAGGACATTAAATGGGGATGATGGGAGTTGTGGTCCAACACATCTGGAGAGCGCCAGGGTTGGGGATGCTCCCATAGACGCCCAGGAAACTGCCTGGAATCCTTAGAGTTAAGGAGACTGATTAGCAGCCTTCTAAGCTGGAGGGATATGATCAAAGTGCATCTTTCCCTCGCTGCTCAATAGCATGTCATTCAGCTCCACAGCTGACTGCTCAGAGCAACCAGAAGGAAAGGCAATATAATAAAGGGAGATGATTCAGCATCTCCCTGCTGCTGAGATAGCATGAATGGGCAGGGTATCTGTAGGTTCAGGGTAGCCAGGAGAGCATGGCTGGTTACTGGCTGCTTTTCAGAACATGCAGACTGAATAATGATCTTCATCATCTCAAAACACAGCCTAATGAAAAGCCTGTCTGGGCATAAGCTACCACATCTTTGGCTGGAGACAGCTGCTGCTGCGGGGCAGCAGCGTTTCCACCATTCCCCTTAGCAAAGAAGATCGGTTCCTAACATTGCCAGGGAATCGTCTGGCATAAGGAGGTTTCAAGTGATGAAAACATGCATGCACGCATCTGAGAGTGCGGCTTCATCATGATAATTACAATTATTGACTCATAAGACTCAAAAATTAGAGGAACCCTTTGAACTAAATTACCAGTAATCTCCATCCTTCTCTGAACTGTGATGTGATCTGTGAAGCTGCGGAGTGGGAGTCTCTGAGGTGAGGTTGCTTCACAGCCTTTGATATGGAAAAGAGGGAAGCGGGACAAGCAATAAGTCACACAGATGCAACTGCTCTTGCCATGGAAATGGGCTTGGAGTTGAGTTTTCTTGCACATGGAATCCGCTTGTATGGTGAGGCGCTTCTCACACGGTAATTTTAAGACACATGTGTACTTCCTGTGTGGCTCCTGGGCCTAAGGACCACAGAGGGGCAGAGGCTGGAGACCTTCCAGAGGGGAAGGTTCTCCCCTTGATGGAGGGGCGGCAGTGCTGAGCACCGAACCTGCTCTCTCCAGCAGGGGCTGCTTGGTTGATCCCTGCCCCTTGCTCCTTTTTCCCCTGCCCCACCTTCTCACCTGCCTTTCCCAAGCTTCTAAGATGTAGTAAGAGCAAGGAGAATGGGAAGTCACATCCACTTCCCTTGCCCTCTCCTTCTGAGTGGCGGTGCTGTCCGGCCTACCGGGAGAGGGATAGCAGCTGGGCCGCGGTAACAGCAGCAAGGAGCTGGAGGCTCGCAGGCAGCACCTTGCCCAAGGCCCACCCCCAGCAAATGCAGTGCCGTATGCTTGGATCCTCATAAACGGAGGATCCAGGTATAGGAGGCCAGCTACTGTTGGAAAGGGAATGCTGCACCTGTGGGGTGGGAGCTAGGTTTCGATCTCCCTCCTCCCACCTAATTTTCTGAAATCTTCTCTCACGTCAGGCGGCTGGAAAGCCCACGATGGGATGAATTGGGAGGAGTTCGTCATGTGCTTTAGCTCAAATTTTGGAGAACAAGCCCCTGGAAGAAAGGTTAAACTTCGCGTTGCTGTGTGCTGGCCTGAATCCAGTTTCGTGCCCTTCACATTGACTTGTGCGTCATGGGGAGAGGGTCAGCAGCACAGTGCGTGCTTAGTGTGTCATATAGGTTGGCCATTAAACACATGTGCTCCAGAGACCGTGTAAGACTAATCACCTTACCTCCTCCCCTGTTAGGTGGGCTCCTTCTTCATGATCAACCTCTGCTTAGTAGTCATCGCAACTCAGTTCTCGGAGACCAAGCAGCGCGAGAGCCAGCTGATGAAGGAGCAACGGATCCGTTACCTCTCCAACGCGAGCACACTGGCCAGCTTCTCCGAGCCGGGGAGCTGCTATGACGAACTCCTCAAGTATCTCGTCTACATCCTTCGTAAAGCCAGCAAGCAGGTGGTGGAGGTGTACCGAACAGCAGGGGTGAAAATGGGCTTCCTCTCCAGCCCAGGCAGCAAGAGCAGCACAGAGAGGCCATCGTGCAAGCACCGGCCTCGGAAAAGATCGTCGGTGCATCATCTCATTCACCACCACCACCACCACCACCACCACTACCACCTGGGGAATGGAAGCCTGCAGGCGCCACGGGCCAGCCCGGAGATCAGCGACGTGGAGACCAGCTCCCTCCACAACGGTGCCAACAGGCTAATGCTGCCTCCAACAGCCAATCCTCACGCGGCTTCCGGCAACACCGAATCTGTGCACAGCATCTACCATGCAGACTGCCATTTTGAGCCAGTTCACTGCAAGCCATCTCTCCCTCAGCCTGGCCTCAGCTTACCTGGGCCAGAGGTGCTTCCCCGGACGGTAGTTGGCAGCAAGGTCTACCCTACTGTGCACCCAAGTAGCTCTCCTGAGCTGCTGAAGGATAAAGGCTTAGGAGAGCCTGCACTGATTCCTGGAGCCAGCACCCTGATGAACCTTAATATCCCTCCAGGACCCTACAGTCCAATGCAGAAATTGCTAGAGACACAGAGCACAGGTAAGTGCAGAGGTTGGATAGGGACCCTTCCAGCTGCCTTCCTTCCCAAGGATATCGCACCTTAATCCATATGTACTTTTTCAATCTAGATGTTCCCTGGAAACATGTGGGATTGAGGTGAGGGGATACCTGGGCAATTCAGCTTGTCTTCAGCTTGGGGCTGTAAGAGAAGTTAATCCAATGATCCATAAAGAGTCATGAGAAACCAATTCATCAACAAGTATTCAACTGGGTTGCCTTTGGCATTTTTTTAGCCTTTAGATAGAAGTTATGAGAAAAGGGCTGAAAAATCCACCAGTGGGAAGCAAATGTAGGCTGGTAGCAAAGGGATGGTTATACAAACCTCTTCAGCTGCAGAACTTGAGATCCGTAGGAAACTGCTGTGAAAAGAAAGGGCATTCTAGACTCCGACCCAGCCACTCTAAGCAGTCTCCTCTTGGCCTGCCTGTGCTTGGGAGACTGGAAGTGCTGCTTTCATATTTTGTCTATCAGCTGCATGTATCATGTCCAGGTAAAATGGTTACTCCTCGGTTTGCAGGCCTCCAATGTAACTGGAACAGTCTTTCCATTGTTCTGAGAGCTGGTGTTGCCTTAACATTTGTCTGCAAGCAATGAAACAGAAAGAGAAGAAAGTTTGTCCGCACATACTCAAATACTCAAGTTGGCTAATAGATTATTATCTTCGCAGTTGTTACTGCCAAATTGTACCCACATTCCATCTTAAGAGTGAAAAACATGCCAATGACTGGTCATTCTTCTCAGGAAGTTGATCTCTTCAAGTCCAATCCTAGGCACAGCATGCTGGGAATTGTAGGCTTTTTCTCTGCCTAACGTGCAAGTGATATGTCTTTACTTGTGAGTGTGTGCCATCCAACCCCACTGAAAACTATGGGGCTCACTCCTTTTTTTAAATAGTAAGTTTTATTCAAAATTTTTAGTCCTAAAAACAAAGAAAAACTAAAAACAACATCAGTCATCAGAAACATCGAGCCTGCTGGGTCAGCCCCCACATTTTTTTTTCCATTTATGATAACATAGAAACATAATCTATACAAAGTCCTGTTTCTCTAGCCAATAGGGGCTCACTTCTAAGTAAACACACGTAGGATCAGGCTGCACACAACCTGTACAATTCATATTTGGCTGTGCTCAGGGGCGGACTCACTGAAATCTATGAGACTGATGTTGCTCATGATTGATTTGTCTCATTGATTTAAATGGGTTCAGTGTACATTTCTAAGTTTGGATCCAACCCTAAATTGTAAGAGGTACTTAATCTGAAAACTGAATGTTCTGATCATCTGTCATACAGGTTTTTATACACTCAAATATGTGAATGTTTATAGCACTCTTTTCACAAGGCACGAACCAGGCTGCTAGTGTAAAATAATGGTTGCCACTAGAGAGATTTTCAAGACTCCTTTGCAAAGCACTTTTCAGGACTGCCATAAGTGCATTTTTAGTGCTGCAAGCAAGAAAAAAAATGGATGCAAAGCAGGGACAATTAGCCAGAAGTTTAGAATTAGGGTAAGTCGAGGTGAGGGTCAGTTGAGGTAACCTGCATTTCTGCTGCTGGCTGTATGATGAAAGAGACACTGTCTCTGAGTTCAGAGCACACTCCTTATTCCACTGTGGATGACACCAACTGGAGACTGTCTGTGGGGAGCCAGGGAACCATCTGTCTGCTGGGATCAGCCATTGCAAGGAATAAGTTCGGAATGGTGTGTTTGTGGAGAAACTGTTAACAGTGAAGTATCAGCAAACAGCAGGATGAGAAAAGCAGTTTGCTGGCTGCACTGCTGTCTCTAATTACAGCACCTAATATTCCAGGTGCCACCAGAGCTGGTTGCTTTTTGAGTCCCCTTAATGGCCAAGCATGTAATGAAGTGGCTGTGCATTCCTGGCAGTGGGCAGCTATCCCTGCCCTTTCATGTTGCTGTCAGTTTTGTTGCTCACCCTCTAATTTAGGTAACAGACACTCTGAAGATCATTAATCGGCACGCATTTTCACAAATGAGGCTATGGAAATAAGCAATTCTTCAGCATTTTGAGGAGAGACTGCAACGTGTGCCCCAGTTCTCTGAGTGCTGAGAGGTTGAGGGCTGCAAGTCGGCCTTCCCCTGGGTCACCGGAGAATTACTGGTGTTTTGTAATACTTGCCTTTATTTACAAATACAACATCTGAGCATAGGTAAAGATTCACATGACTTGCTCACTAGAATCCAGAACTCTGTAGAACTTTACCAGCTCTGAGCTTTCCTGGATTATTCCCCATCTGCTGGAAATGTATTGATTTTATAGAATCTGTGCCCTCAATGTGCCACCAGTTGCTCAGTTAGCAGCTTTCATTCTGTACACTCATTGATGGAATCAAATATTTTTAGGGATGCATGAGAATTTCATGCCACTGCACTAATGCATATCAGGACTAATTCACAGTTGCACTAGTGTAAATTAGCACTAGCACAAATTTGCACAAATTCCCCCCTCCCACCCCCAAGTTTGTGAAATCTCTGTAATATGGAAAAAGGCTGTCTGGTGCAGAATCCTCACGCCAGACTGAAAGAAATCCAAATTCATTTGATTCTGTTGAGCATTTCTCTAACAACCCTGCTCCCAACTCCAGCTCTTTGCATTTTCAGACCAAATTAGGGTATTTCTTAGGAGAGGGAAGGAGGGAAGCCTGAGTCAGTCTTTGGCTACCTCAACTTGATAACCCTTTGGTGGGCATGTAGACATGCCAAGGTAAGATCTGGCAAACTACATTCCTGAGGGAGGGGGATCATATTCAGTTCTTTCATTCTTAGCCAGTCCCAACCAATCCAGCAGGATTGACCAACTAGTATCTCTTCACCCAACCAAACGTGGATGACGAACAGCAGCTTGTTGTCTGTTATTTAATCTACAAAGAACTGTGGCAGATGCTCATTTGCATATTCAGCTCTTGCACAGGGATTGTTGTATTGTATGATAGTTTTTTAACTCTCACAGGATCCACACTTGGTTTGCATGACAAGGCAACTCCCCAGTGAAGATTGTCTAGTTAAGATGGTGCCTGCATTTATTTTTTATTTATTTTTATTTATTCGGGTATTTCTATCCCATCCATTACAGTTCCTCTCTGGATGGCTTACAATATAAAACACTTAGTAAGTCCATCATAGTAACACACAACTGATGATAAAAACCTAATTAAAATATTTAAACTTTAAAATATCTGGTAAAAAAAATGGTTTTAACCTGGCACCGAAAAGCATATAACGTCGGTGCCAGGCAAACCTCTCTGAGGAGAACATTCGATAGCCAGGGTGCCACTGTAGAGAAAGCCCTCCTCTGGGTATTCTGTCCCCTAATCTCCGTCAAGGGGGGTTCCCGGAGCAGGGCCTCCGCTGCAGATCTTAAGGTGCGGGAGGGCATATAGGGGAAAAAAGTTCCTTCAGGTATCCTGGTCCCAAGCCGTTTAGGGCTTTATAGGTCAATACCAGCACCTTAAATTGGACCCAGACTTCAATGGGGAGCCAGTGAAGCTAGGAGAGGACTGGAGTTATATGAGAATAGTGACTGGCCTCTGACAGCAATCTAGCAGCTCTATTTCGAACCAATTGAAGTATTTGGACCGTCTTCAAGGGCAGCCCCACACAGAGCATGTTACAATAGTCCAACCAGGAGGTTACCAGAGTGTGTGTCACCATTGCTAGGCAGTGCTCGTCCAGGTAAGGATGCAGCTGATGGATCGGCCATATCATCACCATAGCCTTCGGATCATCATCAGATGATGATGCATCCACACTACATGTTACAGCTTCATTTTTTATTTATTCATTTATTTCTAATTTCTTACATTTATATCCTGCCCCCTACTCCAAGTGGAGTCTCTGGGTTGCTTGCAACACTTTAAATTACAGGATCATTAAAACAATAAAGCTAATAAAAACAATCCATAGAAACAATCGACTATTATTATCAGTTCCTTACATTCTGCACTGCCTATACCTAAAACTCCCAGGTGGTTCACAACATTTTAAGTTACCCATTCAGATTTCAACCATGCCCAACCTTGCTTACTTCCAAGATTAGGCAGGATCAGGCACTTGGTTAAATAACCCATGCTGGGCAGTCATGTGAATAGCCCATCCTTGTTGTAATCCCAGAATCCAGGTTTGAAAAGGAGATCACTCAGACCAATTTCAAACACAGGTGGTCCTTGGCTTACAAACGAGTTCTGTTCCTGAGAAAATGGAAAGTTGTCTTTAAGTCAAATTTGTATGTAAGTTGGATCATGTATAGTCGGCCCTCTACATTCACGGGGGCCAGGGGCACAGGACCCCTGTAAAAGTGGGAAAAATGTGAATATTTCTAGCTGCCCCACCCCAAACGCACCAGTGCTCCTCTTTGAGGGATTTCCCTCTCCAGATGGGCGAGGCAGGAAGGCCTGCTTTGGAGGCCTCTGTTTCTGCCCTTTCACTTATCTCTGGTGCCTTGGCAGGGGTGCCTATTCATAAAATGGCTACAGCAGTGGGCATAGCCAGCCACAAAACATTCATTTCCCACAAGGCAAATTGGTGAGACTAAAGCAAGCAACTTGCCAAGAACCTGTCTACAAGATTACGTTGGGGCCTGAGGTTCAGATGAGGAAATAACCCAAATCAAGATACAGTTGGAGAGCAGAACTTCCCTTTTCACTGTGTCAGCTTCCCAGTTAAACAATATTTTAAAATAATCTAAAGAAATAGAATAAAAATCTAATGAAGCAGGGCACCTGGCAGGCAGATATTTCTGGTATTAAATTTTTAAGCTTTCCTCTGCTGAAAGCTACAAATTGAAACAGTCATTGTCAGACTGTGCAGCTGCTCCAGAAAGGGATTCCAAGGTACCTGCTGAATGAACAGGGTGTTCATCCTCCTTTCAGGTCCGTGCCAAGGTTCCTGCAAGATCTCCAGCCAGTGTGGGAAGCCGGACGGTACGTGTAGCCCCGAGAGCTGCCCATATTGCCTCAAGACCTTGGCAACCAGTCCGGAGCAGGTGGACAATGAGGCAGGCGACTCCGATAGCGACGGAGTGTATGAGTTCACCCAAGATGCCCACTACCACGATCAGAGAGATCCTCAGCCCTGGAAAGCCCGGGGAAGAAATACGCTGAAGCTTCTCGCTTTCTGGAAGGTGGTTTGTGAAACATTCCGCAAGATTGTGGATAGCAAGTACTTTGGCCGTGGGATCATGATCGCCATCCTGATCAATACCCTCAGCATGGGGATTGAGTATCACGAGCAGGTAAGCAGAGCTTCGGTCCGTATACTGAGATGCTCCCTCATTAGCTCTCTCCTGGTTGTGCTCTTGGCCCCTTGAGCAGACTTTCCTACCGCACAGTATTGATTACTGTTGACCCCTTGTTTTTATGCCTTGCTCTGCTTAGCTATGCTTGTTCTGTCTGTTGCTAAATGAAGCCACAAAGCACTCCAAGGGCTTTAACGTTGCTAAATTTTTCTGTGCTAGTAAGTGTGGAGATCAGCAGTGGTGAATGGAGCATGGCGATATTTGCTGCTTTGGAACTTGGTTAGGCATGGAAGTGTGAAGGATGATCGAGGACGTAACACTGATCGGATGCGTTTCAGTTTGGTGGCTGGCGAGCATCATTAGGCAAGGCGAAGCATCTGTCCCAGGCGGTGCCTGTGGGGTGGATGACAGCTGTAGAGGACAGAGTTGTGTATGCCATGCATCCTGCCCAGCATCCTCTAAGTGCGCCTGCTGCCCACAGTTACAGGAGAAGATGCTGGCATCCAGATGGCTTCTACCTGTGGAATATGGAGAGGGGGAGCCCTCTTGTCTTGCAGAATGTTTTGGGCTTGCCTCGGAGGCCAGGTGCTCAGGGCAATGTAATTGCGACCAAGATAGCAGGTGCTGCAGAAGTGCCTGTAGGCGAGGCTGAGAGTTTGCGAGTGAAGCCATCTTTACAGACTGCTGGGTCCTGATGCTTTTCCAGCAATGGTAGCAGAGCTCCACGAATCCCCCAGATGTCTCAAACTATTTGTTTGTATTCATAAATCATTTATATTTGATTTTGTAATAGCTACCTAGCAAACGACATATCATGAAATATGCAAACTGAGCACCATGAGATAAGTACTGTAATTGCATGCTTTGCGTTACTTCAAATGCAACGTTTACCATAGAATGTGGATGATGGTGTCTTCCGTACTTAGAAATTATTTTGTTCAAGCCGATCATATTGTGGGGGACTCTTAGACATGTGTATGCTGCAACAGTCAGTTGAGGTGACCAAAAGCAAGACTGTCCCTATACAATGCATCCTAATGGTGGCAAGTCTCAGTCTGAGATTTGAAGCATGCTACAGTTTCCAGAGCCATGCATCAGTGCTGCTCCCAGTCAAGTCTTAAATCAAACATTTTGCTTCCACCTGGCTTTTAAAAAAAAAAAAAAAATCCCAAGGTAGGCAACTTGTTGAGCCTCCTTGAATTTTGGCCTATGCATCTCACAATCATTGGCTATGCTAAGAAAGGATGGTGGCAGTTATAGGCCAAAACATCTGGAGGTCCACAGGTTGCCCATCCCTGACGTAGAGCATCAGGGCATCCTTCTGAGGGGCTTATTTTCCTCCTCCTTCTCCTCCAGCTTTTTGGCCTTCCTGGTTTAGGCATTTGCTGTTGAGTACAGGTGCATTTCTTCTAATTTTTGTAGCTAGCTTCCCATGTCTGAACTAAATTCTGCAGGTGTAATTGTAGATCCCAGTGCCATTCTAGTGTATTCACGCATCAGTGGCTGTGCATTATGGGAGCTCAATGAGACCCAAGTGGTGTGTTTCATGTGTCCCTTCAAGCAAGCGTGTTTTCTGAACTCTTAATGCAATGTGGCTGATTAACCTTTGTTTTTATTGTGCCTCAAATGGAAAGGCACTCTTCTGGTCATACCAGTAGGATCTGCCACGTGCTGTTTGACCTTCATTTGCTGACCTTTCTCAAAATATGTTGCTGTAGTCAAAAGAAGAAAATGACTGATTGCTTTTAAAATTCATCATTCTTTTAATAATAATGCCAAGCAGATCATTTCTTTGGAGCCTGGGGGAAAAGTAGAAAACTTGATGCAAAGTTCACATTCTACATTTTGGGTAGTTTAAAGCACAAGTGCAAATGTCATTTCTGTATAAGTTGGCTATCACTTCCTACAGGAAGGGAGCAACCTTCACAGTTCTGTCCTTCCTTCCATACCGAAAACAGCGCAGTGGCCATGCAGGGGAATGAATAATCACGACTGATGCATTTTCATCAGGCTGATGAGAAAATATAATTCCTTGAAGGGAGGGGAGTTATGAGGAGCCATGGGGTCTGCTAGGGGCCCTCGGAATATGAACAAGCCCAGACACACTGCAGAATCTCAGACTCAGGCAGGAAGGTGGTCAGTGGAGGAGTACTTTGCATGTGTTCATGTGCTATCTGCTCAACACAACAAAAGTATCAACCAACATAAGGCAATATCCCATTCTTTCTCCCAGACTCTTGAGGTGCATAGTGAATGCTGAATCCTGTTTTATTAATTCATCTGATTAAAGTGGCAGTAGAGAATAAGATGTGTTTTTCCCCCTGTAAACTCCTGCAGCTTACAGAGTGTTGTTTCATAATCTGACAGTTATGAGATAGGGAATTAGAGCTGAGAATTGATGGCTCTGGTCTTTCTGCTGAGATTATAAATGGTGAATGTGACCTTTTTTCCTCAAACTTAAGAGGAAATGAATCAACTTTGCTAAATGTATCTTCATTGGTAGATTGTTCAAAAAAGGAATGAAGAGTCTTAAGAGCACTTGACTTTTTTTTAATATTAAACTTCCCTGCTTTTTTAATGCAAATTTAAAGCATGGGCATATCCATGCACTCCAAGCCTTACCCTTGTTGGTTTTGCCATGCTAAAAATTCAGTGTCAGACCTGTTGCAGACATGCTAGCACACTTAGAATACTGAATAGGAGAAATAAAACAGAATACAGCCACTGAAAGTCTTGAATAATGATAATGGAAAGTTGGTTTTTCCTTCGGGGTTATTTGGACTCCCTCTTCCTTGTATCGATTCCTAGTGTGGGGAGAAGGCTCTGCAGAGGAGACACAAGCACCGCAAGCATCACTGACTGATGTGCCGTAGAGTCCAGGTTCCTGGGGAGTGAAACCCAAAGCAGTGATGCTGCAGTGAGATAACAGGTTGATACTGGAGGAGTAACTCTTGGCATGCAACTCTCAAATGGAAAGAGAAATGTCAGTTATGGGTGGAAGTCCCAGGGTTGGACAAATGACTCTCTTCCTGGTCCATGTCACTTTTGGCATGTGCTCCTGGCATCATAGATCTGTTTTATCCTGTTTCTCAATTAATTTGCAGATTGTGTACTTTAACCTCTACAACCAGTTGCATTTAAATACAAATTTTAAACAAAATTTATCCAGAATACACAACTTAAATGCATTTCTCCCCCAAAATACACATTTTCAAACAGTTGATAGGTCTTTTGAGCCAAGAACTGCACTAGAGAATTATGAAAGGAAGTGGATAATTAAGTTGCCCTCCATACTTGTGTCTTGGTGGCCCAGACCAGGTTAGTATTGCAATTCATCTGGCTAATTTTTCAAGTATTCCTATGATCCTCAAACTGGTGACTGTTTTCTCCTATACCCCTACTGGAAAAGTGGCTATAGAAGTTTTTGTAATGGCCCAGAGTGGGAATAATTATTTTGAAATGTGAAATTATTACTCTGAAGCCCCCAAACTTGCTCTGGGAGTGGGCAGGGGTGGATCAGAGCCCTAGAACCACAGTCCCAGCTGTAGTGAATATTCTGTGAAAAGCAATCATGCAGGCTGACCGAAAATATTTTTTAGCAAACAACGTGCTCACCCCCGAGGCAAGGCTAGTCAAATTATTTCGTCAGTACTCCTCCCTAGCAGTGGAAACACAATAGAAAGTTAACGGCACATTTTTATATCCATTTAGCTGGGAGTAGGTCCTACTGAACTCAGTGGGCCATACTTCCGAGCAGACATGTCCAGGATTCCACTGTAAGTAATAAAATGAGATGATTTCATGACAGCTGAAGGTGCTACATTGTGTAGAATACTGTGCCCAGTTCTGGGCACCAAGATTTAAGAAAGAGGCCAAAAAATTGGAATGGGTTCAGAGGAGGGCAACAAAAATGGTCCCGAAATTTGAAACATTGCCCTGTGAGAAGAGTCTGAGAGAACTGGGTATGTTCAACCTTGATCAGAGAGGTCTTGAAGGGGAACAGGGTATCACTTTTTACATACATAGAAGTTTGCCACAAAGAGGAAGGACAGGATATCTTCTATTTCATACCAGAGTGTTGGACACAGAATACTCAACTCAAGTTGTGGCAACCCAGAATCATGCCAAAAATCAGGAAAAGTTTCCTCACCGTCAGAGAATATGTCAGTGGAACCAGCTGCCTGTCAAGGCAAAACTGGACAGTCATCTGAGTGGGTTGGTACAGATAAACTCTACTATGCTATGAATCTCTGTTGCGTAATGATAGGGCCGGCTCTGGTATTAATCTGTATAGCCTGAATCTCTTACATACACCACACAGTGGGAAAGAGACAGACTTTTCCTCCTCCAGACTTTTCCCCCTCAAAACAAAAGGAAGAGTGCTATACATTTTAGAGTTCTCACTAAATGTTCATGACAACTAACCTTAATTTTTTTTTATTATTGGACTTAAGCACATTGGGAAGTGTTGCCTATTATTTCAAAATATGTGCCACTAATGAGACATTCTCATGCATATCATACTGAAATGAAATAAAAAAAACATGAAAAATCTTGGCACATTCATTTTTAGGTAGATCAGCTATTCCTTCGAAAGAAGGAGCTGTCATAATTACTTACAGCAGCGTGCAAGCAGCCTTTAACCAGGTTTCCATAATAAGAAGAAATTGGAACTTTTGTTATTAATAGAAATAAGTGGCACACTTCCCCCATGTTTTAGATTTGCTGTCTGGTTTTAAAATGGGTCTGTAACTTGCTAAGAAATGTTAAGACCCATGTGAGCAGAAAGAGACATAAATGCGTTTGGATGCAGCCATACTGAGCCTCCGCATCCAGGCCCACTCTGTGAAGATTAATGGTATGCTCTCCTCTGCATCATCTAGCAGGGAACCAGCGTTGCTGCTGTCTCATCAGTCTACATAGCATTCAGCTCCTCTGCCTCCCCGCAAGAGAGAGGACCTTGACTCCACCAATTATTTTGAGCAGAGGACCCCCTA